CAGTACTCCATACCATAGTAATCACAACAGTGCAACCTCCATTCTCACCTCACAAAAACCGGGGGGCTGGCCCCGCACTGCCGGAGGCTGCCCGGAGCCACATGGAAGCCGACTGTCCACGTAACCATGATCCGGAGGGTCCTGGGCCCCTCCACCAGCCGACTCCCCCCAACCTGGCCCCTGGCCATGAACTGACACCCTAAGTGGAACGCGGCCGTCCAAGCAACGCTCCTTTTCCTGACCTCCAAAACACCTCGGCGTCTCTGACATACAGCCCTGACACCCCGATCCCCCAAGTGCACTTACAGTGCAGACAGAGTGAGGACTCACCTGAGGAGACGGTCACCAGGGTCCCCTGGCCCCAGTAGTCTAACCAGCTGTCACATTGTGACAACTAGGCCAGGGTCTTAGGCAAAATCTGGTGCCCGGCTCCGGCCTCAGGTCCACCTCAGGCTGTGCCCAGTGAGGGCAGAGGGGGGCCAAGGTGGCCGAGGCCCCAGAGAGACCCCCCTGGCTGCAGAGCCCCGGAGGAGAGGGATCTGGGTCGTCCTCTCCGAGCCCTTGAGGGCCGCGTCCCCTCATGGCTCCCTTCCTGAGCCCCCAGGCTGGCCCCAGTCCTTCTGGACCCGAGACCCAGACACCCTCATTTTCCCCCCAAAAGCATCAAAAACCGTCAGAGAGAGAGAGAGGAGAGAGGGTGGCAAGGACTCACCTGAGGAGACGGTGACCAGGGTCCCCTGGCCCCAGTAGTCAAAGTCATCACATTGCCAGGGGCCCCGTCAGGCAGTGTACAAAAACCCGGGGCCCCCGCCCGGCGCCGGCCACCCCAGAGAACCGTCTCCTCAGGTCTCCGCGCCCCCGGACACCCAGGCCACTGTCCCTTCCACGGCAAAGGGCCCCGTCCCCAACCAGCCTCAGGAGCTCCCCTCTGGGGACTCCCCAGGGCCCCGCATAGAGCACAAAAAGTCTCTGGAAATTCCTTTCCAGCCCCAGGACAGAGGAGGAGAGAGGAAGCCGTCTTACCTGAGGAGACGGTGACCAGGGTCCCCTGGCCCCAGTACTCGAAGTAGTCACATTGCCAGGGGCCCCGTCAGGCAGTGCACAAAAACCGGGGGCCCCCGCCCAGCGCCGGCCGCCACAGAGAACCGTCTCCTCAGGCCTCCGCGCCCCCGGACATGCAGCCCATTCTGCCTCCCACGGCAAAGGCCCCCGTCCCCAACCAGACCAGAGGCTGTCTGCCCAGCCGACACCCGAAGGGCCTCAGGAGCAGCCCCCAGGGCCCCCCATAGAACCAAAAACAAAGCCTCTGGAAATTCCTTTTCCAGCCCCAAGACAGAGGAGGAGAGAGGAAGCCGTCTTACCTGAGGAGACGGTGACCAGGGTCCCCTGGCCCCAGTTAGCAAAGTCGTCACATTGCCAGGGGCCCCGTCAGGCAGTGTACAAAAACCCGGGGCCCCCGCCCGGCGCCGGCCACCCCAGAGAACCGTCTCAGGTCTCCGCGTCCCCGGACACCCAGGCCACTGTCCCTTCCGTGGCAAAGGGCCCCGTCCCCAACCAGCCTCAGGAGCTCCCCTCTGGGGACTCCCCAGGGCCCCGCATAGAGCACAAAAAATCTCTGGAAATTCCTTT